TCCACTAATACCCCACCCCACCAGCCAGGAATCGAACCCTCGACTTACTGGGTGGGACTAAGGAACGCTACCGACCAACCCACAAGGTTGGTCGGTAGCGTTCCTTAGTCCCACCTAGTTTGATAAAATCACACGGAAAAAGGGAAACAACGGAGCACCTTAGCTTTCGTCTTTATTCAAGACATCTTCTGATTAATCTACACCACGAAGATGCCGGAAAAACAACTTTTTGAAATAAGACAGATTGTAAGAGTATGGAAACACAGAAGGAGGCAGAGCATTCCACAGTTTGGCTGTGTGAGGAAAGAAGGATGTTCTATAACAGGTTATTCTAGTGTGACCGACACCCACAGAGAAACTGTGAGAGGATTTTGCCATTATTATTTATTTGTATGTATTCTACGTGTATGTGTGTGTCCACCCACACACACACACACACATATATAGAATACATGTAAGGCAATTACTGTCTCTAGAACGAATGGCTCCCTGTCCCAGCTGTGAAAATGCCAGCAACCTTAAAACTACCCGGGCATATTGTATTATACATAAATAACTATACTATTTAACCCAATACAATACTATGAAAACTGACCTTGATCACATCTGGTCTTGGAACTTCAAAATGTGTAGTTAACATAAAAATTTTATACAATATTTTGGGAACATATTCCATTCTTGATGGATATCTTCTGAGTGCTTCCACCAGTTGATTTGCACGGGCAACACCTGTCACCTGTAAGTAGAGCCAACAGTAATATTTTTTATCAGTATTTACATAAATAAAGTTTCACAGTAAACCCTCGATAACTCACAATATATGGAGCTCTGGGTCATCAAGGGTCTACTGAATATTTATTACCACAACTGTATGGTTGTTCCAAGAAACACAAACACTCTATGTGGCCACTGGTAACTCACTTTACTGTAACAATATCAGTGGCCACTGATAACTCACTTTACTGTAACACTATCAGTGGCCACTGGTAACTCACTTTATTGTAACACTATCAGTGGCCACTGGTAACTCACTTTACTGTAACACTATCAGTGGCCACTGGTAACTCACTTTACTGTAACACCATCAGTGGCCACTGGTAACACACTTTACTGTAACACTATCAGTGGCCACTGGTAACACAATTTACTGTAACACTATCAGTGGCGACAGGAAACACACTATATTATAACACTATCAGTGGCCACTGGTAACACACTTTACTATAACACTACCAGTGGCCACAGGTAACACACTTTACTGTAACACTATCAGTGGCCACAGGTAACACACTTTACTATAACACTATCAGTGGCCACAGGTAACACACTTTACTGTAACACTATCAGTGGCCACTGGTAACACACTTTACTATAACACTATCAGTGGCCACTGGTAACACACTTTACTGTAACACTATCAGTGGCCACAGGTAACACACTTTACTATAACACTATCAGTGGCCACTGGTAACACACTTTACTGTAACACTATCAGTGGCCACTGGTAACACACTTTACTGTAACACTATCATCAGTGGCCACTGGAAACACATTTTACTGTAACACTATCAGTGGCCACTGGTAACTGTAACACTATCAGTGGCCACAGGTAACACACTTTACTGTAACACTATCAGTGGCCACAGGTAACACACTTTACTATAACACTATCAATGGCCACAGGTAACACACTTTACTATAACACTATCAGTGGCCACAGGAAACACACTTTACTATAACACTATCAGTGGCCACAGGTAACACACTTTACTGTAACACTATCAGTGGCCACAGGTAACACTCTTTACTGTAACACTACCAGTGGCCACAGGTAACACACTTTACTATAACACTATCAGTGGCCACTGGTAACTCACTTTACTGTAACACTATCAGTGGCCACTGGTAACACACTTTACTGTAACACTATCAGTGGCCACTGGTAACACACTTTACTGTAACACTATCAGTGGCCACTGGTAACTCACTTTACTGTAACACTATCAGTGGCCACTGGTAACACACTTTACTGTAACACTATCAGTGGCCACAGGTAACACACTTTACTGTAACACTATCAGTGGCCACAGGTAACACACTTTACTGTAACACTATCAGTGGCCACTGGTAACTCACTTAACTCACTTTACTGTAACACTATCAGTGGCCACAGGTAACACACTTTACTGTAACACTATCAGTGGCCACTGGTAACTCACTTTACTGTAACACTATCATTGGCCACTGGTAACACAGTTTACTGTAACACTATCATCAGTGGCCACTGGTAACATTTACTGTAACTACTATCAGTGGCACTGGTAACACATTTTACTGTAACACTATCAGTGGCCACTAGTAACACACTTTACTGTAACACTATCAGTGGCCACTGGTAACACACTTTACTATAACTCTATCAGTGGCCACAGGTAACACACTTTACTGTAACACTATCAGTGGCCACTGGTAACACATTTTACTGTAACACTATCAATGGCCACAGGTAACACACTTTACTATAACACTATCAGTGGCCACAGGTAACACACTTTACTATAACACTATCAGTGGCCACAGGTAACACACTTTACTGTAACACTATCAGTGGCCACTGGTAACACACTTTACTGTATCACTATCAGTGGCCACTGGTAACACACTTTACTATAACTCTATCAGTGGCCACAGGTAACACACTTAACTGTAACACTATCAGTGGCCACTGGTAACACACTTTACTGTAACACTATCAGTGGCCACTGGTAACACACTTTACTATAACTCTATCAGTGGCCACAGGTAACACACTTTACTGTAACACTATCATTGGCCACTGGTAACACACTTTACTGTAACACTATCATCAGTGGCCACTGGTAACACATTTTACTGTAACACTATCAGTGGCCACTGGTAACACACTTTACTGTAACACTATCAGTGGCCACAGGTAACACACTTTACTGTAACACTATCAGTGGCCACAGGTAACACACTTTACTATAACACTATTAGTGGCCACAGGTAACACACTTTACTATAACACTATCAGTGGCCACAGGTAACACACTTTACTATTACACTATCAGTGGCCACAGGTAACACACTTTACTATAACACTATCAGTGGCCACTGGTAACTCACTTTACTGTAACATTATCAATGGTGTTACGACCGTGTCGTATTTTTCTATTTTTTTTTTATATATAACATGCTTCCATGTTCCATATTATTCCTGTAATGATGTGTTATATTTACTATTATATAATCTAGTCACCTTAACCCTGTGCTGTTAAGGTTTTAACTGTTATTATTTGTTCAAACCCATTTTGTATTGTAACCAGTATTCTTTGTTCTGTAACGACCATCTGCATCGTTAAACGACCCACCGGCGGGTCGCGTGGCGGGAGCCGACCTTATATATAGGACCCACCAACTGACGGAGTTAGTTCAAATCCTCCTGTCATACGCGGTCAATAAAACCCACAGGGTACCGTGTTAAGTGAAAACCGCGCTAAGCGAACAACAGAACATATGGGATTAATTCCAATAGAAACTGGCCCGACCCCCAAACTCCACTTTTTGACGACACACAACCATGTTGTAGTAAAAATTATATCATAACTTTATGATGGTATGAAAAAACAAGTAATATAGAAGAGGTTAGGTTAGGAAAAATAAAGGTTAGCATAGGAAAACTAAAAGTTATGTTGAACACTTACGTTAGTAGAAGAGATAGGTCGGCGTACGGGGATGGAGGCTGGTTCTGAGGCAGAGGGCAGGCTACTGGCCCTCAGGTGAGTCACCATCACTGTCACCCACACTTGTTATGGCCTCCCTGACAAATCCCTCAAAGTCATCTTCACTGTCTCTACCTCTGTCACTATCACTGGCTTGGACTGGCTGTGGTGGGTTGCGGGCGAAGAACTCGGTTATGCTTTTTTGACGGCTGGTGTTTATGTTGTCTTGATACACCGTGATGTACGGCTCCATAGCCTGCACCAGCCGGGTATGGAAGACTTCATAGCGGTCATCGTCATTGTCGCGGGAAAGGAAGGACTTCATCTTCTCTGCACACTCCATGGCACCCTTAATATCACTATGACTTAAACTGTGTTCTTCGGAGAAGGACGCACCTTCTTCCTCCTCTTCACTGACGTGATCTTCTTCCAACATCTCGTCGGCAGTCACTTCAGGATCTCTGACCACCTCCAGGATGTCTTCGTTGGTGGTCTCGGAGAAGCCTTCAGCTGTAATATTGAGCGCAGCTTCTCTGGCAAGGTCCACTGCTACTGCAACAGTCTGAACCTCACCAGTCACAGGTTCACTCCTCCTCTCAGCTGGCATGCCATGCAACACATGTCTCCATGCGTGACAAATCGTAGCAATAGACAGCTGATCCCATGCCTCCACCAAGAAGTCTACAGCTTGTTTGACGTTAAACTTCTTCCAAAATTGTTTGACGAGAACTTCTTGAGTCGCCACCTCTTGTTCCTTGTCCTCGTCGCTTTTACTCTCGCTGTCGGTGTCATCCAGCTTACGCAACTCATCCTTGGTGTTGGTAGAGTCGTTCAGGAGCTTGAACTTCTTTGCAGAGTACGCAGCATTCACATTGCAGATCAACTTCTGGTCCATGGGCTGGATTAATGACGTAGTGTTGGGAGGAAGGAAGACCACTTTTACGTTGGGGTGACGATCCATAAGTAGGGGCGAGTGTCCAGGTGCGTTGTCAAGGAGCAACAAAAAGTTGAATGGAACATTCTGTTGCTCGCAGAATTTCTTCACGTCGGGAACAAAACAGTTGTCAAACCAGAAGAGGGACAGAGAAGAGGACATCCACGCCTTACGTGCGATTAGCCAGTGGACATTAAGCTTGTTCATGCCCATATTCTTGTAGGTGTGCGGCTTGCGGGCTGTGTGAATCACCGATAACTTTGGTTTACAGGTATCGGAGGCATTGGTGGTAAACAGGACGGTGATGCGTTCCTTCTGCATCTTCCGGCCCCGAATCTTGCTGGCATTCTTTACAACGAAGGACTTGGACGGTAGCTTTTTCCAGAAAAGACCAGATTCGTCCATGTTAAACACCTGGTCGTCGGTGTACTGTCCTTCCTCCATAATCTCACGTAAAAACGGAGGAAAATCTCTAGCCGCCACACGGTCAGCACTCGCTTCCTCACCACCAATGTTGATGTTGGTGATCTTGTTCCTCTTCTTAAACCTATGCAGCCAACCAGAGGAAGCATTGAAGGGTTTGGGCTCTGCAATTCCCAGCTTACGTGACACTGCTGCGTATATTTCACGTGCGTACAGTACTCCTGCACTGAGCGCGTGTCCACCGCCATGTTGCGTCGCGCCTGACGAATCAAATAACTCGCCAGCAAATTTTCCACTTTTGCCAGCACCCTGTTCTGGCAATACTTGATCGTTGAAGCACCTGCAGACTTTGTGATTTTCATGTGCTCTTTGATCTTGGCTGCATCCTTCTTGATAGTGCGAATCATAGATTCGTTGGCGCCATGCTGGCGTGCGAGATCAACTTGCCGTGTTCCTTTTTCCAAATCTTGAATGATCTGGTATTTCACTTCATAGCTTAGACCACGGCGTGTCTTCTTGGGCTTAGGGTGGCTGGGTCCAGGTAAGGAAAGGTCTCTCTCTGGTGGTGGTGGTGGTCCGGCGGAAGCCATTTCACGGAACAATGGATTCACGTATACACGGAGTGGCCTGGAGGGA